CTCGGAGGGGAGAGGCTCTGCAGGCAACCTCCATTCAGGTCTGACACATAGTCTGACCGAGTCTAATGAAGCAGCGTGCCCAGGAGCAGAGAGAGGAGTGGTAGGCTTGGGACTGACAGAATGAGCCGTTCTTCCAGGATAAAAGGGTGGGGCAGCCTGGCCCGTGCGGCTCAGTGGTTGAGCATCAACCTATGAACCTGGAGGTCACGGTTTGATTCCTGGTCAGGGCACATGCCCAGGTTGCAGGCTCCAACCCCAGTGAGGGTCGTGCAGGAGGCAGCCGATCAATAATTCTCTCTCATCACTGAAGTTTCTCTCTCCCTCTCTCTCTCTCTCTCTCTCTCTCTCTCTCTCTCTCTCTCTCTCTCCCCCTCTCCTTTCCTCTCTGAAATCAATAAAACTATATTTAAAAAAAGATAAGTAAAAGGGTGGGGCAAAGGTGAGATGGGGAGAGAGAAGCATCCCAGCATGTGGGAAACACAAGCTATATTCCAGAACCCTAGGGAGCCTTGTAAGTTTTCTGGAATGAGTGTTGGGAGACGAGGTTATAAAAACATGGCAGCTCTACCAGGAAGGGCTGAGGGGCAGCTATCTGGGAGCAGGGACGGGGCGGGAGGCCTCGACACTGTGCTTTTGCATAGCAACCTCAGGTCTTTTTTGTGCAGGGTTGAGTTTGGGGTGACTTGGGAAAGAGATGAGGACTGGTGGCGGTCCTGGGAGGCTGTGGGAAAGGTGGGCATTGGGCACCTTCAACTAGAGAAACGGAGATGAGGAGCGGGGATTTGAGAGACTGCAGAGATGAACAGGCAGAATTTGGTGAGAAGGGGAGTGAGAAGAGAGTTCGAGGGGCAACGATGACTCCGAGGCTTCCGATGTGAGCAAGTGGAGAAGCAGGAGAAGCAGCTTTGTTGGCTGAGGTGGAGGTGGGATGAGACTGTTCCGTACGCAGTGAGCATGAGGGATGGCCAGGTAATGACATCCACAGGTCCACATGCTCTAGCTTTAAGTCACTTTCTGTCTGGGATTTGCTTAAAGATAATCTGAGAACAGTGGGTAGGCGATAGGTGAGACAAAATCGGCTATGAGTAGATCACCAGCATGGGTGAGAAAGCAAAATTAGCTCAGACTAGGAAAAAACAGGCTGACATTCATGGGGCTGGGAGGACAGACATAGGTACAAAGTTACCATGAAACAATATTCTCCCCCAGGGCAGCTGCAGCTAACGTGTCAGAACCACCCCCTTCCCTGCGTGACTACTGCTTCCTGACTCACTGAGAAATTCTGTTCTCTAACGTGACAGACCATCAGAAACTTGGCTGTTTGAAATTTTATCAGTGAAGGTGAAACACCCCCCTGCCGCCAGGAGGATCTAAGTCACGTTGATACAGAGATGGGGTCTTGATTTGCAACCCGGGGTCAGATCCCCAGGCAGGGGCATCTGAACACAATATTCCACGTGTCGTAACTTAGCACTTTCGAAGGAGGTGACCCGGGTCTGTTCTGCAGGTCAGCCCGATGTTGTCTCCTGCTGTGTTCTGAGGCCAGGAAAACACTGCTGTGTTTCAATTTTACCTACACTCCGTCCTTCCCCCAAATCCTGTAACTTGCTCTTTGCCTGTTTGGTGAGACACCACCCTCCCCAGTCCCTTTGTGTGTGGTCTCCTTTGTTGCGATGAGTTAATAAGTCTGATTTCGTCAGACTGCAGGTTTGTTCCTCCGGTCTTAGGCTGCCTGGGCCAGGACATGGGTAATGGGGATACAGGAGGTCTCTGTACTATTCCCTCAGCTATTGCAAATGATTCATTTTCCATGACATTTCCAAGTTTTACAGAAGTCCTCGCCCCACGACAATAGCACCAGCAATGTCAGTGTTTGAGATCTGTGGAAGGCAGAACAGTGGCCCCCAAAGACATCCACCTCCTAATTCCTGGTGCCCGTGGATGTTCCTTACTAGCAAAAGGGACTTTGCAGGTGTAGGAAGGCTAAAGACCTTGAGGAGTATCGCGGATTATCCAGGTGAGTTCCGTGTCATCACGCGGACCCTTAAAAGCAGAGAACCTTTCCTGGCTGTGGTCAGAGAGGTGCGACCGTGGAAGAAGAGTCAGAGGTGCAACGTTGCTGGCTTTGAAGATGGAGGGAGGGGTCTCGAGCCAAGGCATGTGGGCAGCCTTCTGGAGATGGAAACGGTAAGGAAGCATTCCCCTCCGGAGCCTCCAGAAAGGAACGCAGCCCTGCTGATAACTGGATTTTAGCCCAGTGAGAACCAGTGAGGTGCTGACCCACGGAACTGCAAGGTGATCAGTCTGTGCTGCGTTAAGCCACGTTGGTGGCCATTTGATACGGCAGCAGCAGATGAAGTCAAGATCGCCCAGAGGAGTGAGGAAAAAATGAGTCAAGGGTGCCTGGGGGCCACTGATATTTGGAGAATGAGTCAGCAAGGAGACAGAAAGGGACATCAAGCAGCCAGACAGCTGGAGACCAACAAGGAGCGAGCTGCAAAGAGGAATGGTCCTGAGATTTAAGCCACCTCCTCTTCAAAGGGAGGGCTGAAGGAGTGAAACGGGCTTTGAAATTTAAAGCACATGTTATTTCTTGCTTCCTTTTCCCTGTGAGTCTAGTATTTGCATATGATAGCCTCTTCACCTGAAACAATCACTTTCCCCTTCATGTTGAAAGCCTAAGAGGTTGAGAACTTTCACAACCTCAGTTCATGTTACAAACCCATCAAGGTAGTAGTCTGGTTCCAGAATGGCAGGTTTTAGCACATCGTAAGCCAGAAAGAGACCGAGCTATTTTTATCTGTTAATTCAAGTTATTTGACTCTGGAGGACCGCCCCCAAGCTGGCCTGACAGTGTAGTCCTGGTCACCGTTTCAACACTCCTCCCACACCCATCCTTCCCTGAGACTCACGGTGCTCCTCACGAAAAGATTTACTCTCTTCCCAGACCATCTCAGCTACTGGTTTGGAAAATGGCAAATCGTTTCACCCAGGTGAGACTGTTGATGGCTTGGACTATCTGAGAGAACATTTATGTTCACAAATGGAAATAAACGCTGGATTTGTGTATTTTCAGGCTTGAAGACTAAGTGAAGAATGTGGAGAGGAGTATGTTCTTATTAAACTCACGAACCTCATCTGGTTCTGGCTGTCTGGGCCGAACGTCTCATTCTCACAGGAAGACTCAGGCCCGTGATTTTTTCTCTGCCTGAAGACTCTACCCCATTCATTCTTCAGAATTCAGCACCGTCATCAGGGGGCTGTCCCAGGTTCCACTGGCCCTTCCTGTTATAGGCCCCTGTACACCTGTTTTTCCTTATGAAGCACTCACCACACCTGCAATTATTTGTTCAGTGTCTATCACCTTCTCCATTAGACGACAAGTTCTGTGAGGTGAAGACAAGGTCTCCCTCTGTGGTGTCCACTGCTCTCTCCTTGGTCTCTAGCACATGAGATACCCAAACCTGTTGATGATTGAATAAATGAATGGAGGCTGAGGGCTGAGTGCTCTTCCTCTGGGTTGACAGGTGATTTCTACATTATTGGTTCCTAGAAGCATAACTAGGAATTAAACATTAAAGCCAAGGATCCTTAAAGCTAAAGGACCAAAACCAATGAGTTTCCAAAACACACGTAACACCCTGTATTAATTCCTGGTCTTGTCCAAAGCCTGAAGCAGAAAACAAACACAAGAACAAGTGGGACAGACTTCTGACACGGTGCCAAGACAACTCAATGGGAGAAAGATTAATTTTCCTAAAAATGGTGTTGGGACAACCAGACTTGCACATGCAGAAGAATGAACTTGAATTCCTTCCTTACACCAAACACAAAAATTAATACACTACAACGTGGATCAACCTTGAAAATGAAAGAAGCCGGTCACAAAAGGCCCCTATTACGTGATTCCATTGATACAAAATGTCACGAACAGGTACATCTACTGGGACAAAAAGATTGGTGGTTGCCCGGGGCAGGACTGGGCTGACTGGGAGTTGTCGGGGGTGGGAGATGGGGAGTGACTAATTGTCATGACACTTCTTTTGGGGCTGATGAAACACTTCGGAATTGATTGTGGTGATGGTTGCACAACCCTATGACTACACTAAAAACCACTGACTATTCACTTTAAATGGGTGCCTTATATATCGTATGGGAATTATATCTCAATAAAGCTGTTAACATTTTTAAGTTGAATTAAGAAATACTGTGTTGCTTTTTCAACACATCCCATTTGTTGGGACCCGCTCCCACAGCATTTCCCAAGCATGAAGGAGAACGGGTTTCTGGCTCCGGGACGGCCCGAGTCCCGATGCTCTCGTTTCCTGCGTGTGTGCCTGCACGGCTGTCAGGGGCTCGGGGCAGGAATGCTGCCCTCGGTGACTCAGGGGCCTGCAGGCTTCCTGCAATGGATCACTTCGATTTTATCGCGCCACGTACTTTTCTCTCTCAACAACAACTTGTCCTTGAAGCTGGAAGTGCAACGTAAAACATTTTCTTTCTTTCCAGCAGACGGATCCCTCCATTAGGGTCACCTGGAGTTCACTGGGTAAGGTGTTCGGAGCAGGATGACCAAACCCTCAATATCAGATGCTGAGCTTTTGGGCTCCTGATTTGTTCTCTCCCTGCCTCCCTCTTTTTCTTTCGTCATGTTCTTCAACTCCAGGACAAAGGTCTGAATCTCCACCCCATTCTCCACACCGAGTGCTGGATGGGAAGAGAGAAAGGGGCTTCCTGGAGTTCGGGCTCCACTTCCTGGCTCTGGGGCCTCACACCTGAGCCCCCACCCATTCCTGAGCCACTTACTTCCCTTCATCATGCCCATGGCAGGGCCTGGTTAGGGTCCTGGGAGCAATTCCTGCCTGGCATGTCTGGTTGGTGAAGGATTCAAGAAAAAAAGCTAAGACCTTTCCCAGGTGAAAATGGCTAGTTTGGAGGGGAGTTTAGAGCAGGCACCAATAGACACACGCTGAAATAAATGAACAATGGGATTGGCAAAATAAACAAAACTTAAAATAAACTTTATTTAGAAGACTTTGAGATACAAAAGAAGACCATGGCATAATCTTAGGTAACAGACACCACAGTGGAGTGTCAGAGCCCTAGAGCAAAAGGCCATGGGGGTGGGGATGGAAAGGTGGTTGGCTCCGTGTTTTTCTAGCTTCAGAAAGTCCTAGAAGCCCCGATCACAGCCACAACATCCTAGTATTGGTTACAAAGTATCTACGAAGGTGTTTACCTGTGGGAAAGAGGAAGCCCAAAGTTCAATTTCACATTTTCAGCAGACTATCCAATAGTCCACCCACAGGAGGACGTGGCTAAGCCCGTGAGCTTCTGTGAAGAAGGGAAGACAGGCACGGAGAGGAAATGTGACTTGCCCAAGGCCACACGGTATCGAGTGGCGGAGCCGGGAACAGAATTGAGAAGTCTCAGTTCCCTAGTTCTACAACACCCTAGAGGAGGAAGTTAGCTGGGAAGCATGTATTGCAAGTCAATTATTTAACAATTATCAGCCCAAAACACTTTAGAAAATCAGGATTATATTTGTAACTTGTATAAGGCTCCACAGACTTTGGAATGTGCAATGCAATTCGAGGCATAAAGCACAAGACCCATTATATTAAGGTCTGAAGTAGAGAGAAAAGTGCAATAAAGGGACCTGGCTGGTGTGACTCAGTGGCTGAGCATCGACCCATGCACCAAAGGTCGCTGGTTCCATTCCCAGTCAGAGCACATGCCCTGGTTGCGGGCTCGATCCCCAGTAGGGGCATGCATGAGGTAGTCAACCAATGATGTTTCTCTCTCATTGATGTTTCTATTTCTCTATCCCTCTCCCTTCCTCTCTCTCTAAAAATCAATAAACATACTAAAAAAAAGGAAAACCATTAGAAAGCAGTTCCCCACCTTTTCCATGAATTCTTCTTCTTTGGTTACATCTTCACAAAAATCATCACTGACATCCAACACCAGCACTGGAATGTTCAGCAGAGTCTCGAAGTGCAGCCTGTGCGAAGCGTGAGCATTTAGGGAACAGAAAAGAGGAAGCTGAGCCAAGCTTCACACCCTCTTAATAATTCAGAGAACAGATCCAAAGTCACATGGCTCCTCAATGAAATGGCATGTAAACAGCATTTGAAAAACAATTCACGTGGAGGCATGGAATATACCTCAATGTGGGGTTAGGGGGACAAGAAGAGATAAACCAAAGAACTTATATACCTACTAGAGGCCCGGTGCACAAGTGGGAACCCTCGGCCTGGCCGGCGATCAGGGCCATCTTGCCCAGTCCCGATCGGGGCGATTGGGGCCGGCCAGCCAGGGGAGGAACTGCGGGAGGTTGTCTGTGGGAGCAAATTGATCACCAGGGGGCAGCTCCTGCATTGAGCATTTTCCCCCTGGTGGTCAGTGCATGTCATAGCGACTGGTCAACCGGTTGAGCAGTGGACTGGTCATAACAGTCACATAGGCTTTTATATAGATAGATAGATAGATAGATAGATAGATAGATAGATAGATAGATAGATATAGATATGCATAGCCCATGGACACAGGCAATAGGGTGGTGAAGACCTGGGGGGGGGGGCTGGATAGAGGCTGGGAGGAGGGGGTTAAGGCAGGAGGGTTGGAGATATCTGTAATACTATCAACAATAAAAATATATTTTTAAAAAAACAATTCATATGGGGCTGGGTGAAATATGTGAAGGGATTAAGCAAAACAAATGAACAAACAAATAAATAGAAACCTCAGACACAGACAACAGTGTGGTGATTACCAGAGGGAAAGAGGGGTTAGGGAAGGTAGAAGAGGATATAGGCAGGATAAAAGGTGATGGAAGGAGACTTGACTTAGGGTGGTGAACACACAATATGATATACAGATGATGTATTATAGAATTGTATACCTGAAACATATATATACACACACACACACACACACACACACACACACACACACACACACACACCAGAATGCCATAATGACCAGTTGCTATGATGCCTACTGTGGCCAGCAAACCAGCCTGATTGGGTAGGGGCAGACTGGCCAACCTCCCCATGGCTCCTTCCCCCAGTTGGCCCCGCCCCCACCCCCGATGGGCCCCTACTACCCCTATCGGCCCACGGCCCCTTCCCCCAGACAGCTCTGCCCCCGATCGGCCCCCCCCCCACTCTGATCAGGGGCAGGACTGGCCAGCCAACCACCCATGGCCCCTCCCACAGGCCGCTGGCCCCTGATCAGCCCTCCCACCCCATTCAGGGGTGGGGCCGACTGCCCCACCACCCACAGCTCCTCCCCACGGCTGGCCCTGCCCCCAATCGGATCCCCACCCCAAGTGGGGGCGGGGCCCACCAGCCAATCGCCCATGGCCCCTCCCCACAGCTGGCTCAGCCCTGATCCTTTCCTCCTCCGAACAGGCCTGGCCCCAATCCACCAATTGGAGCCAGGCCAGCTGGCTGGACCCCACCCATGCATGAATTCATGTACTGGGCCTCAAGTATAATGATATTAACTAATGTCAACCCAATAAATTCAATAAAAAGTAAAATAAATAAATAAACCAATTATAATGTTTTAAATTGTTACAAAGATGCAAAGAAATTCTGTCACCTAAGGAAACATCATTTAGCCCTGGCCAGTGTGGCTCAGCTGGTTGAGCACTGTCCCATGCTCCAGAAGGTCTCTGGTACGATTCCCAGTCGGGGCACATGCCTGAATTGTGGGCTCGATCCCCAGTAGGGGACATACAGGAAGCAGCTGACTGATGTTTCTCTCACACATTGATGTCTCCCTCCCTCCCTCTCTCTCTTTCCTTCCCTCCCTCCCTCCATCCTTCCTTCCCTCCCTCCCTCCTCCCTCTATCCCTTCATCTCCCTTTTTCTCTAAAAACGTTGATAAAGCCCTAACTGGTTTGGCCCAGTGGATGGAGCGTCGGCCTGCGGACTCAAGGGTCTCAGGTTTGGTTCCGGTCAGGGGCATGTGCCTTGGTTGCAGGCACATCCCCAGTGGGGAGTGTGCAGGAGGCAGCTGATCGATGTTTCTCTCTCATTGATGTTTCTGGCTCTCTGTCCCTCTCCCTTCCTCTCTGTGGAAAATCAATAAAATATATTTAAAAATAAATAAATAAAATAAAAACGTTGATAAAAACATATATATAGATAGATATCTATCTATATCTATATCTATATCTATATCTATATCTATATCTATATCTATATCTATATCTATATCTATATCTATATATATAGATATATAAATAAATAAAATTTAGCCCTTGCCAGGTGCCTCAGTTGGTTGGAGCATCATCTCGTATACCAAAAGGTTGCTAGTTCAATTCTTGGTCAGGGCACATACCTACGTTGTGGGTTTGATCTCTGGTCAGAGTGTATAGGGAGACAACTAATCAATGTTTCTCTCTCACATTAATGTTTCTCTCCCTTCCTCACTCTCTAAAATCAATAAACATACCATTGGGTGAGGATAAAAAAGAAAAGAAATATCATTTAGTCATTAAAAAATTCAGTAAAATTAGCTGGAAAGACAAGCCTGAAATTTCTCTTTATTCTTGAGAGCCCCAAACATTTTAAGTGATAGCATACCACACTTGAAGGGAGGAAAGGCCAAAACTAGAAATGTCAACTTAATTTCTCTAAAATTTTTTAGCCCTTCACCCTGAGCCAACTATATCATCATCACCAATCACCATGTTCAGCCCAGTGGAACTTTAAAAAAACAGAAAGCTGGGACAATAGACTCTAATAAGGTCTCTTGGAATATACAGATCACACCCACTATTAATTTCTGAGTTGGATAACGCCAGACATTTCCAACCACTTCCAGCACATTCTGAACCTCCCTCTGCGGCTGCGTGTTGAACTGTACTTGAAGGGCTGGCCGTGGAGAGGCAGGCCTCTGTCTGCTGCTCTCTACTCCACTTACTTGGTGGTCTTGTGAACAAGCCAGGCCTCGTGTTGCCCATGAAGCTGCTCAAGATATTCCAGCTCAATTCCTCTCTCTTCTTCCCTGCCCCTCCGGTGTAGTCTCGTCAAACAAACCTAAAAGAGAATAATCCCGGGGCCCCGTTGAGTTCATTTGTTTTCTTGGCTGTTACAATGCAGTCTTGGGGGACTCTCAGACCCACGCAAGCTTTCTATCATGGGCACTACAAGCCAAGACTTTCCTCCTGTGGTCCTGTTTTCTCATTCAATCACAGGTTAAGGGCAAACATTATCCACCTGTGAATCTGGAATCACCTTTCTTTTTCCTCCTCCCAACCACACCCAGGAAGTCACTGCATGTTCTTTAATCTCTCTCCAGTTCATTCTCTCCTTGTCTCTCTCTTCTCTACCCCAGTCATGTCCTTATCACCTCTCACCTGAACTACAGCAAGAGCCTTCTGGCTCTCTGCCTCCTAGCGACGGTGATGTGCATGGGGAGGGCCCAGGCCTAATGTCAGAAAGTCCAGGATAAAGTTCCTGTCTCCACCATGCACTAGCAGTGCAATCTTCATGGGCTTCCATTTCCTCACCTGCACTCTCCCACAAGCTGCTGTGAGGATTCACCCAGGTAAGCATGCCACATTCCTAGTCACAGCTGTTCTTTCCTCCCAGTCTGCCGCTCAGCCCTCTCTTCCATAGGACTCCAAAACAATGGCCTTCCTCTCCTTGCCCAGAACACTTCACAGGCTCATTGCATACCGACAGCCACCACCCCTGGGCTGGAGCAGATATGAGTAGCATTATATTTACGAAAGAATAAGTAATCGGAAACATCGCTTTCAAACAGCACTCACTGCAGCAGAATGCAAAATCTGCACAGGTCAGATAAAAAGCAAAAAAAAAAAGGGGGGGGGAGCGGTTTGGGACTAACTCTCCTTCCCTCCCTCCTTCCAGAGTGTGCTATTTCCATTCTGCTCTCACATGGTAGAAAAGTTTGAAGCACAATGGCTCAGAGAATGTCACCTTTACCTGTCACAAGGCTATTCCTGGAGTCTGGGCACCTCTCCTATGTCTCCACTCTCAACTTCCTTAGCTCCTCTCCTGGACTCACTGCTTCAGCCAGAGCTGAACTCCTGCCTGCAGGCAGGCCAGCTTTCACCCCTCCACGCTTCTACTCCAAATGTCTGCTTTGCCTGACCTGCCTTCCTTCCTCTCTGCCTGGCAAACATTTCATCACTCAATGTCATCTGTCCTGGAAGGACAGGTGGATTAACCCACTGATTCAGGACTACCCTCTTCCAAACATTTAAAAAACCTATCCCCAAATGTAAACTTTATCCCCAAATACAGTGCACAATATTCCCAAAGACGTAGTCTTTGCTGTTTCCCTCTTGTCCTATCATCTCTCTAAGGCAGCGGTTCTCAACCTGTGGGTCGCGACCCCTTTGGGGGTGGAATGACCCTTTCACAGGGGTCACCTAAGACCATCGGAAAACACATATATAATTACATATTGTTTTTGTGATTAATCACTATGCTTTAATTATGTTCAATTTGTAACAATGATATTGGGGGTCACCACAACATGAGGAACTGTATTAAAGGGTCGCGACATTAGGAAGGTTGAGAACCACTGCTCTAAGGCAAACATGTCAAGCTCGTGGCCCATGGGCCACATGAGGCCCACAATGAATATTTTTGCGGTCCAGCCAATATAACGGTATGTAAGAAACGTTTTAATAACAATTTCATAACTTAATTTTTACAATATCCTGTTATACATAATCTTATGTAATAAAAGGCAAATATGCAAATAGACCGAATGGCAGAACAACTGAACAACTGGCTACTATGACATGCGCTGACCACAGGGGGTGTGTGTGGAGCATGGCAAGTGCTGGCCATGCTGGGATGGGGGAGCAGGTGAGTGGGGGCGCCAGACCAAGGCAGGGCGCCAGTCGCTGTCATCAGGGTGAGCCTCTGCTGGTTACTGAAAGCTCTTTGCTCCCACGCGCCACGGTCCTGCCAGTGCTCACACCTGCTGCCAGCGCCAGCTCTGCTCGCACCCGCAGCCGGTGCCGTAGCTGCTGCTCGTACCCACTGATGGTGCTTGGCGCCATCAGCCGATACCAGTGGAGGCTGCCAGCCCTGATTGCCCCTGAGGGCTTTTCCACCTCCCCCTGCTCCTGAGGGGCGATCGGGGCAGCAGCCACCACTTGCACCTGCTGATGGTGCTGGCCCCAATCGCTCCGTGCCGTCACTGGGTGCGAGTGGGGCCAGCGCCGTCAGCAAGTGGGAGCAGTGGCAGGAGCAGGGCAGCCAGCAGACAGGGGGCTGGGGGCCGCGGCAGGAGGGGCCGAGCGGATGGGCTGAAACCCGCCCCTGTGCCTACTGCAGCCTTGCAGCCCACAGTTCTTTTCAAGGTGCACAAATTCGTGCACTGGGCCCCTAGTTATTAATAACAAACTACAACATTCGCTAATGACTGATTACTATAATCGTGTTGCATTCATTTCCCTTACGCGCCTTATGCACAGGTGCACCATTTCTCTCCACTAATACTAGCAGCGAATATTTTAGCAGCCGAATGCCACGTCATTAGTCTTGGACTGACTGGTTTGGTGTGCGCAACAGGAAATATTTTGCTTTTGGAGAACAAGGAAAATAGGTTTACTTGTGTTACAATTATTCATTTGTGCAGTTATTCAGTGTCTGGTAAGTTAATGTTCAAGTAAAAATATTAATTTTTATTAAAATTTTCTATTATTTTATGTTAACGATTACTCATTTATTTCAGCCCTCTGTATTCAGCATGCGTCTATCGAAATAAACCTACGTTTCTATGAAAATTGAAGCTTTTGTTTTTTTGCGGCCCACATAAACTTAAACCTTGTTTATTTGGCCCGTGTTAGCCTTTGAGTTTGATGTGCTTGCTCTAAGGAGATAAAGTCACATACACAGATCTCATTCACGATCTTATGTCCAACTTTTCCAATTGATTAACAGAGACAGAACTAACATGTTAATACTCTTAGGACTTATGCCTTCTGGTCTCTCCCACTTCCTGAATCAATAATTGTCCCAAACTCAGATGAAGTCCTTGTACCAGGAATTCTATAATGTAGTTATATAATAAGGAAAACAATATGCAAAATAGGGACTCAAGTGTCAAACTGTGAGGTTAGGATTGAAGTGCAGCAGTCAGATAAGGGAGAGAGCAGTTGGGCCCCAACAGTCCGACAGGTGTTTCCTGGAAGGAGCAGGAGCTCCCCCTTTATCTCTGGTACCAGCTCACTGAGCACCACTCTGAGAGCCGGCTGCTGTGCGAGGCCCTGGGCAAACACAGTGGCATTTTGGCTGTATCGGGTGACAGAGGGAGGTCTGCACAAGGTGCTCCAACGGCACAGTGACGGGGGGGGGGGGGGGGGGGCAGGGGCAGGGCGCGGAGATGGGGAACCTAGGAGGCAGGCCAGAGTCCATCCTGTTCAGGGCTGAGCCCTGGGCCTGGCAGAGTAGGAGGTCAATAAGTATTTGCTGCAGGTATTCATTTAATGTTTTAATATCTGACGTAGTCTCCCTCCGTCCATTTACCTTTTCCTCCTACTTTTATCTTTTTCATTTCTACTTTCCTTCACTCTGAACCTGCCTCTTTTGCTTTCCTTTTACCTTTCTGCCCTTTCATCCCCACCCTACAGCCAATAGCTCAAGACATTTCCCCTTATTCTCCTCCCTCCCCAATCACACAGCTTCACACCCGACTTGCAGCTACGCAGTTCTCTACCCCACTGACAACCAACCAATGTTACTGACTTTTTTTATACTTTCAGAAATATTGTACACATATGTATTCTTACCCCCATATTTACATACACATATCTACATATATCTTTTTTAAAAAAATATATACGTAAAAAGTGTCCTACTATATATTCTGTTCACTTCGATTGTTTCCATTAACTTGCTTTTACAAACAATGCTGCCTTGAATATGAGACATTTTGCCCACGTGGGCGTACATTCATGGAGTAAGTTCCAAGGAGCATAATTAATAGGTCAAAAGGCATGTGTACTTGCTGGTATACACTGCCAAACTGACTCCTTAGAGGCGAACCACTCTAAATGCCCGCCAGCAAGGTAAGCTTCAGGATTTCTAAACATAGCAAAGCTCCCTAAGTTTCCTCTCTGAGAGAAAAATGTTATCAGAATTCATGAAAATGCATGTTTTTAAAAAATGTGGCTTTATGTTTTTAATTATACACAAGGGAAGAGCAATTTTTATAAAAGCTTTATTTACTCATTCATTGCTGGCAGGCCAACACTGATGCTAAGGTCTCTCCTATTAAAAGGCTAACATTTCCTTTTTGACTATTTATTTGCTTAACAGAGCAAACTCTATCCTGCAGAAGTCTAGGTAAACTATTCTGAGCATTTGGCATAATTCTTGCTTTACTGACACGGTTGCAAAAATTATTAAAAAGAAAACCCCGCACAAACAGTGCTTCAGTCTGGTCCCTCTTCACCTCAGTCCCATGGGGAGGACACACCTGAATGTAAATGGGAAAGATAGTGTGTATTCAAATGAGCTTGGGGTGGGACCCTTCTGCCCATCTGCCCCGTCCCCTCACCCTCCACCCTCAGGAAAAGCTGCTGCTTACACTGCTTGGAGGCAGAGGCAGACACTGATGGTGACTGCTAGTGGGCCAGCCCACTGCTTCCCAAACGCAGGTGCCCGTTCCCAGCCTTGCCACGCGGTCTCCCTGTGAACAGTGCCCGGCAGGGCCGGCTCTTTGCGGCACGCTGGCCGGCTGCACTCTTCCTGAGTCCCTGGGGTTGGGTGGGGACACTGAGGCCCAGCCATTTCTCTTCTAATGTGTGGGGTTATTTTATTTTATTTTATTATTTTATTTTATTTTATTTATTTTATTTTATTTTATTTATTTTATTTTATTTATTTTATTTTATTTTATTTATTTATTTTATTTTATTATTTTATTTTATTTTATTTTATTGTTGGCTTGCTTGCTTTTTGGCATTTAGGGGAGAAGGTGGAAAGGAGCAAAAGGCCCTACTTAGATCCATCTCCCGTGCTCTGAGCTCATGTTTACAGGGCTCTGCACTGGAACACTGATCACTGTGCAGCTCTTTACCTGGATGTTTTAGCCTCTGTTCTGCTCTTCTCTTGGATATAGTTACTTCTTAATCTCCTAGGAGAGGTCAGGGTGACTTCAGGGAAAGGCCATCAGAATTCCTGGGTCCCTGACTCCAATGCCATCAAATCAGCACCAGCCAGTCTCTAAACAAACTATTTTTCTTTTTCTAGCATTAGGTTGCAATAATCTTTCAACTCCCCTCATTCTTCCCAGCTGAAATATCTCCATTAGTCTCTCCATTAGTCACGCCACCACCATAACAGTGGTCGCCACCACCATAAGAGTGGTCACCACCACCGTCCACATCAATGCCCCTTCCCACAGTCATCGGGGTACAACAGAAGGGAGCAAGCCTCTCTTGCTTTCCCTGCTGGGTCCCAGTTCAACCTCAACTCCCGGAAACAAAGCCTCTGCAGCTAGCCACGCGCCCTGGTTCACTCTCGGAAGTGAGTCCACCCGCTTCCCTGTCATCAATACTGACTTCATGGCACTGAGCTGATTACGTGGAAGTTGTTTCTCTTGGAAAAGGTTAGGTCAGCAAATCCTGCTCATGCTCAGCCCCCCAGCCCACTGCTTCTTGTAGCCGGCCATCTCATTACTCCTACTAGAAACCCGTCACCCCTTCAAACTCCAACCACAATCCTCACTCAGTCCCAAGTCCACAGCCTCTCACTCCTCCTTGGCCCTGGCCATGAGCCCTCGTGGGACCAGGACTTTCCTGCCACTGTGAACCCATTCTCGGCTACTTGAAGCCATCCTCTTTGGCAAGGTCTCTTTCCCCTAATCACCGACACCAATGCCCCAGCCTGCCACCCAAGTGTAATCACTTTCATAACACACCTCTTCTATTAATACTCGCAGGCAATGAGGACTGAGAGAAGTCACATAATTGTGACCCGGCCAGTCAACTTGCAAGGAGTGCATCTAATTTCAGCTTGCTTCTTATCCCTGAAGGTTCTAGCTCTGTGGCCTCACTGAATCTTTAGTGCAGTTTCACTTTAAACCGTAGACCCTATTATTTCTGTGGAATCTCTTTATTTTCTTCTATGATCTAGTTTCTGCCTCACAATCTCCAGAAACTCCTGACACAAAGGCCCCAGTATCTGGTCCCATCACACTCCTAGCCTCTTTCCTGGCTGCCACTTCACAAGGTGAGTCCTTTCCTTCTTCCCAATCCTCTCCTCTCTGGCTCCGACGAGCCTGTGCAATGGGGCTCTCCCACCTGTTTTCAGACCCTACTCAGCCTGTTCTCAGGCTTCCTCCTGTCCACACGGCTCAGTCCTGTCTCTAAGAAGCAAGGCCTCCAGCCTGAAGAGAGCTTTCCCTCCTAAGACTATGTGGGCTATCTGGAACTGGACTATACATTACAAAAATGTCTCCAAGGCTGAGAGCAACACATCTCAAAAATATCTCCTGCCTCAATAACTCTCTCATCATAGGTGTTTCTTTTGCTCTTTCCCTGCCTCTCTGAAATCAATGCAAATATATTTTTAAAAAGCAAACCTCCTGTCTGATTCAGAATCCCACTCCAGAAAAGCCCTTAGAGATTGCTGGTCTGAGCCACTGGATTTAAGAGACAAGAACCTCCAGGGAAAGGTTTCCAGGGGCTGCCCAAGGTCACTGCCAGTCAGCAGAGGCCAAGATCACTGCCGTCTGCAGAGACTCTGGTGCTCCCTCTCTGATGTTACCCTGTTCTGTGCTGGGCTGGCACCATGGTCCAAGTCAGAGAGTCATGGAAAGCAACTTCTGTACTCCATCCTGCCTTACCGGCAGTATCCTCAAGGCTCAAGATGGGGCTATAGCTCAGGGCAGTACCAGGATGAGGTGAGGAAACCGTCCTCTTCCTCCCCACTACCCATTCAGAAAACCACCAAGACCAGCACAGAGGGAGGGAAAAGTGGAGGCAATTGGCTATAGGTTACCTAGTCAGAGGGTTCAACCTGTAAACCCTGAGTGATAAAGATAACACTCCCCCCGCCCCTTGCTCTATGACTACGTTGTTGTTACATCAAGAGAGACCCTTTCTATGCAATTAATTGCTTCAGCCCTCTGCTGCAGAAAACCTGCGGGAAATGGGGCGCTGAATGTTAGAATGGGAGGGGGTTTACCTACCGCTCTCCGTGCTCCAGATAATACCCACAGTCTAATTTCTCCAACCAGGAAATAATCAGGGGCTTAGGGGACGTCTCCTCTTAAGTTTCATATGGCCTTTAAGTCAAAGGCTATGGGTTCTGCATTACCTGGGGAGTAGCCTGAAGGTAGATGAAGCCGTGTAATTGGAGCCGGCTGGCAAACTCCTGCAGGAGAAAAGAATGCCAGTCCTGGTAGATATGCCACTCCATGTCATTGAGGGAGCCATTTTCAAACAGATTCTTTGCAAAGATATACCTGGTTGGAAATGTAAGCGGGGTTGTGGGAGGGGAGAAGAATGGGAAATGGAATGGGCAAAAGAGAGAAAGAAGCAGAAAAATCAATAACCAACTTGCTCCACGTCTGTTCAAACCAATGAACCCTTTTCAATTTTGAAGAAATCTGAATTTTTAACATATATCCCCCTCCTGCTCAACACTAAGATGGAAAATAGCATTTAGACTTTAGAAGCCCAAATCACAACTCTTCAGACGAATCCACGGGAGGAAAGAGGGCCCTGGAAGAGTGTATTTATCATTGGTCGCTAACCACTTTTCCTGCTGGAAACCAGTCAGAACATACAGCAAATGGTGCATGTATACTCAAACGTTTGAGACTTCCTTATTATTACTGTAGCAGCCCTCAAACAAAAGCCAACCTAGCATAAAGCACCCACCACAAGTCATTTAAAGACTGAGGGCTTCTGCGTCTCCAGGCTGCTGAGTCAGCCTGCTGTTTAGCTGAGAAATGGAGAAGGGGCTGGATCTCCATAGGTGGCATCACCCATGAAGCAGGAGATGCATTTCCTACTAACTGCGGGATTACCAAGGAAGCAGACTTTCCTTCAAAGTACACGAGCTCTTTCCTTGCTTCATTTGCTGCTGAGCCTCCTAGATATAGGAAAGCTAAAGCTAAAAATCGACTAGCTTTGCCCCTTGCTTACTTACTAAAGGAGCATCTGGTGAATAGGAAAACAGAGCCAACCAGAAACCATGGCTTCAGAAGGGTCAATTCTGCTTTCAATCTCACGCATCTTGACACAAAACACAACTTACATCCTAAACAATGAATTGCAGTTTCTAAGGCAACGCTCAGCAACTGGCCACTTGTGAGAAAATGAAATTTGGAATTCTTGTGTACGAATGGCTCAGGGAAGCATACACTGCATGGTTGTGTGTTGTGATTAAGAGAATGGGCTGCAGAATCTCATTCCTGAGTCTGATCTTAGCTCCAGATATTCATTAGCTGTGTCACTGTGGGCACATCATCAAACTCTCTCAGCCTGTTTCTTCCTTTGTTTAAAGAGAGAACTGTAGAGGCCTGGCTGGTGTAGATCAGTGGTTGAGAGTCACTCCGTGAACCAGGAGGTCACGGTTTGATTCCTGGTCAGGGTACATGACTAGGTTGTGGGCTTGATCCCCAGTAGGAGGTGTGCAGGGGACAGCTGATGGATGATTCTCTCTCATCATTGATGTTTCTCTCCCTCTCCCTTCCTCTCTCTGAAACCAAATATGATTTTTAAAATCATATTTTAAAAAGGAGAGAACAGTAGGAACTAACTCACAGAGTTGTGAGGACTGTACATAACTCACAAGTACTTAGAGGAGTGAATGGCACCTAGTATTCAAGGCGTCTTAACCGTATTGTAACTACTTCTTTGCACATTACTTCTTCTATGAAGAAACCAATTTGAGAGCTCCAGAGGTCAACTCTTTCAAGCTGGAATTTTAGATAGAGCCGAGCTAAAGGTAAAAAGAGGTGACTTCTGTAACTCAATTTCTGAAAAATCTTTTCCGCTTCTTCACAGGTAACATGGAAATTAAGATCTATATAGAGAAACTGACTTTCGGTTAATAAGCCCTATAAAAGGGCCCTCCCCATTCCTGAGGAAGAGCACTTCATTTTTCCAAAGCGAGGGGTGATGGGGGGTGAGGAGAAGGGCCTGGTGCTAAGTGCTAAGGGGGGAGAGAGTACCACAGCTGTCTCAGTGCAGGGGCTGCCAAGAATCAACTTAAGAACCTGCTCTAGCCAAAGCCGGTTTGTCTCAGCGGATAGAGCGTCGGCCTGCGGACTGAAAGGTCCCAGGTTCGATTCCGGTCAAGGGCATGTACCTGGGTTGCAGGCACTTCCCCAGTGGGGGATGTGCAGGAGGCAGCTGATCGATGTTTCTCTCTCATCGATGTTTCTAACTCTCTATCTCTCTCCCTTCCTCTCTGTAAAAAATCAATAAAATATATTTAAAAAAAAAAAAAAAAAAAAAAAGAACCTGCTCTAAAAACACATGCTATTGTTTCTCATAACTCGAACAGAAAAGATTTCAATTTCTTCCTCCCCGTCAACCACTCTCCCAAACAACCCGTGTTCCTCCTTTGAAACACACGTAACATGCGATCACACGTGCAGTCTCAGAGCTCCCTGCTGGACTAAGGTCACTGTGAAGGCAGGGAGGGGTTGTGTTTTGCTTCCTGTTGCAGCCCCCAGGCCTGGCCTGGCGTCTGCACCCAGGCAACACTTGATGTATCTGTGCTGAGTGAATGCACACATGAATGAATGTTTAAGCGTGAAAAGGCTCTAAATTACCATCAGGACTAGAATGTGTAATTAGTTATCCTTTCTGTCTCAAAAATGCTCCTTGTGAAGAAAACATCTTCTAAGATGTGGTAGCTGCCTATAGTGCAATCAATTCTCATCTCTTCCCAGTAAATGGTAAGATCTTGTAGCTTCTGAACAAAATATTTCTTTCTCTTTTTTAGGATGTTTATTTTTAAAAATCTTTATTGTTGAAAGTATTACAAGTCTCCCCCCCCCCCCCCCGGCCCCCCATCGACTACTTATTGCCCGCCCCTTCCCCCCACCCCCAGGCCTCCACCACCCTATTGTCTATGGCCATGGGTTATGCATATGTGCATACAAGTTTTTTGGTTGATCTTTTCCTACCCACCCACCCACCCACTCCTGCCTTCCCTCTGAGATTCCACGGTCTGTTCCATGCTTCTGTGTTTCTGGATCTATTTTAAACAAAGTATTTCTATTTCTGAGGGGTCTCTCACATGCCTATCTCACTAAAGGGCTAGAAATGATGGTGAGTACATTTCCAAGTAACCTAGGTGGTTCTATGCAATTCATCTTCCTAGTCCAGGAGGCATAGCTTGAGAGAGGGGAGAGGAAAACAGGAAGCAGTACACTCAACAGGTGAAAAAAACAACACAAAAATCTAGGGCCCAACCATTTGTAATTCACAAATTTAGCTTTTATGAAGAGTGGGCTCTCCCTTGCAGTACACAGCAAGGGAGTGCATAGCCCACAGGGTTTGTTTTACATATCTTGTGTGATTTTAAGTAACATTAAAACAAATCACATCATATTAACAAACATACCCTTATTTTTCCCTCCAGGAGGCTTTACGGAGCTCTAAAAAGTAGAACAAGTTTGTCTAACTTGGAATTAAAGGGTAACCAACAGTGTCTTCAGAAGTGACTGCACAATGACAATGCAGCATTTTCCATTTTGATAACTCAAAGGGGCTTAAGATAGAACATGATGCTTTAAAGTTTAAACCACCATTGCACACCGACACAGGTCATTCAGAGCCTCAGGTCAAAACAAAACAAAGCAAAACAGCAGTATCCAGATCAAGGCACCCTCGCTTGTCTCCAAATGGCTTAAGTCGCAGCCTGGCCTCGCGGCACAGCCAGGAATGCTGGAGCCTGGATGGACTGCCTCCTCTGGAACAGATGAGCTGAGTCCCCAAGTTCGCTGCTGGCCTTCATTAAAAGTGACTCCTCACCTCACTCCCTCAGGTGGTCAGGACAATGCCCTTCCCGTGACCTGACATAGGCAGTGTATGTCCACTATAGACTCGGGCCAGCACTATAAGCCCTGTCACATAACAAGGGGTCAAAGAAGGATAAATCTAAAACAGACGTCAATTTCACAGTTGTGCTATTTCTTCTTAGAAATCCTTCCTTGAAGAATAAAAAAAGGATGAATATGTCTCTGCCGTCATTTTAGAAACACACATTTTTAATTCTGCTTGCTGTCTTCTTCAAAGTAAAAACCAACCACTGATTCACTTGGTTTCCTAGAACACACACTGCTTCCTTTTTTTGTTTCTCACACTGCTTCTTAATTGTCTGTTCTGTGCCTTTTAACATGTAATGTTTTTATTAGGTATCTACCAGGTAGGCCTCTGTGCCAGAAAAAAATAGGAAAAATAATCAGTGGCAATGTGGGAAATTTAGTGCATGTAGTTTACGAAAAATATAATTTCGTCTCTTGATATATATGACAGCCCTGTGGAACTGTAAGTCTGAACAAATCTATAAAGTGTTGTCTTTAAAAAAGGCAACGATTTTTTAAAGTTTAATGTTCAATGACCACAGTGGTGCAGAGTCTGAGCAAGAAGAGAAAACATGCAGTGCTGAGCGAGGGGCGGTTTCAGGGTCTTACCTGTCACTGTACACAGACCTCTCAAAGATCTGTACCCCTTTCTTGGCCTGTAGGACTCTCTCGGGGAAGGGCTCCAGCTGTATTTTTAGGCGGCTCATAAAAGAAAATGTCTGGAATGTGTAGGACCATCGTGCTGGCTCCCGGTACATCAAATCCAGCAAGTTTCCGGGATTTAGAGTACTGAAGGCCTGGAGGGAAATTACAAAAAAAGAGAGAATTTCCTAGAAGCCATGTTTACTTCCTGGTGTTTACCTTCTCCCACCCCCGCAGCAGGTTTGATAATCAATGCGAGAAGCAATTACAAAGGTTTCCTTTAGTCAATGCTACATAATTAAAGAAGAGATTTTCCTACTTTATTAGACAAGAATCTGACAGAGGGAGATGACATGTCACGTTCAACATACTAGAGAAGAGCAGAGGAAGGACCACACATAGAATTAGAGCCGTACTTACTGATTGGTGGATTTGTGGAGTCTGTGAGTTAATAGTTAATAAGCATCTAAAACTCTACTTGGAAACAATGTTTTCTATTTTAACACTTTATTACCTCCCTTTGGAGCTCCCTTTGTCACTATTTGTTTATAAAACTTCAACCCAGAGAGGAAAGCAAGTGATGGCTTGATGTGAAAATATGACCAACCAAACAGAATCCCCCCCCCCGCCACACGGGCTACAAGTTTTTAACAAATAAAACCCTCCTTCCTCCTCCATTCTACAGACTTTATGAAGGACCCACTTACTCAGTATGTGCAGGTGGCACGTGTGGGACACTCAGGAGCCCTGGATTCTTTCCTGAGCTCTGGCATGACTCAGGGCAAAAGTGAGTTTTGCACAAAGCACTCTGGACCCAAATTCACTCAGTCACCATTAAATGAAGGCCTATGTGAATGAGGCATTACATGAGCTAGGTGCTACAAGGGATATAGAAAACATAACTAAGATTTATTTCCATGTTCACTATGCTATGTTATCTCATTTAATCTTCAGAACAGCTTCATGAGGTAGGTATACTATTAAGTCCGTTTTCCTGTGGAGAAAATCCACCTGTCCAAGGTCTCATGGTGAGTAAGTACTGAAAGAGGTAACAAACCTGGCTTCCTCTAACTTCTTCATTCTAATATTTCTCTATATAGGAGCAAGCAAGACATGATTCCCAAGTTCAAGGAGCTCAGAATGCAAAAGGAAAGAGGATGACAAGGACATAAAGAGCTAGAATATAAGGCAGAACATGTGATGAAGGGCTGCTCACTTATGGTGGAAGGAATCTGAGCAAGTTTCTGGGGGGAAAAAGTGGCATTAAGTTATGTGGAATGATATGTGAATTTTCATAGATGGAAATGGGGATTAAGAAAAGCATTTCAGGTAGAGACAATGATACAAGAGGGGAGAAAAGGCTGGATAACCACAGTGGTCTAGTTTGGCTTGTTATCATCCCTACATTCCAGAAAGGGTCCCAGACCTTCAGAAGGCTTCAGCAGGAGCAATACATGTAGGGCAGAGTGAGTCACAAAATGATCTCCCCTCTTTCCAGTCCCCCCAAACCACAACACACACCAGCCTGACAAGCAGTCCCTGGCTAAGAGCTGGAGGTAGAAGCAGGGGAACAAATCTGAATCAACTGGTGTCTGATGTCACTAGCCTGTGGTGTGGCACAGATCTGGGCCGGCATGGAAGCCCACTGAATGAGTGGGGCGCTGTGCTGACAGATGTATTAGGTTGACGGGGAGGGGGCTATTCCACCCGCGGGCTTTGGGCCACCAAAGGGAGACTGTTCCAGAACAAAAAACTGCACAGAGGCCTATATAATTTCTGAAAGAAACATTTCAGCTACAGGACAAATGCAAACATCATTTCTAACATATAAACAAATAGAGGAATAATCATTGGATATAAAAATATTCAGCAATTCAAAAGGAGAGGATCAATCAGTGTGCTCAAGACAAGCAGCCTCTTAGGAGACAGCTGTTGCCAAGAACAGGAAAAAACAGAAGAATCTCATTGAGATTCAAGAGATGGCCACATTGATAAAAACAGGCTGTCATAAAAAAGGGAGCAATGTGAAAAGAACATTCTTAGACTTAGAGGAGAAAAATACAATTTCCAAAACAAAACACCCAGTGAAGACTGCAGTAAACCTGATGACTGAATGTCATACAGAGTATCAGCTCAAGAAATTCTCCCTAAAATAAGCATGAAGGTCAGAAGGACATCTAGTGTATATTGCAAATCGTGGGAGGGTTGGTTTTTCTTGTTCTTTCTTTACTCTGAAAAGATGCATCAACATGTAATGCCACCTGTGCTTCATCTCAAGCAATTAATTAAATTGCGAATCATACAACTTTTCAAACAGGGGCTAAAATGATCTGCAAATCCACAGTACCTGTAGATCAGACAAAGCTACCCAAGCAAGGAAACAATTTTTCTTCTCATGTGACAAGGGCCCAATACAGAGAGATGAAATGCAACCCTCAATAACAACAACAAGAGAGTCACCTACAGAAAAGACCACTCCTCATGAGGCGTGTGTCTCCACATCAAACGTCACCATCACTGAGAATCACTGTCTAATAGAAACCCTTTGTATCTCTAGGTATGTAAGAACAGAAATAAAGTTTAAAATCATGGTACAACTCGGAGTTATAGTCAGAAGTAACTGATCAGATGAAAAAACCTGATCAGTTACCCTAAAAAATTTCTTTAAAAAAACTAAAGAATTGTTTAAATTCTTAAAAAAATTTTAAAGAAATTTTTTGACACAAGATTTTTCCACCAGAGAAATCCACTGAGTACCAGAAAAGATTTTACATATATGGGGTGTCCAAAGAAATTGTATATACACTTTGAATAATTAATTCCAATGGGTTAGATCTGAAAAGAGAGAAACATCAATGGAGCTATCAGCTATTAAGTGTGTACACATTTTTTGGGGGCACCTTATAAATATACTAGAGGCCCGGTGCACGGATTCAATGGCATCTTAGAATTTACAAAATATGTCACATCAAACTCCACACCTTACAGATAATACACATTCTTCTTACAAGCTCATGGCACATTTATGAAAATTGCTCACACATAAAAACTGATCATACATAAACCATAAAGAAAATCTCAGTAATTCCCTCAGTTAGAAACTATATAAGCCACATTTTCTAACCATAACAAAATTAGAATAGCAAAAGAATGCTCACACAAAATCTACTCAGAAAATGTAAAATGTTTTAAAAATAATTCTTGGACAAAAAATAAGTCAAAACTACAATTATAAACTTTAGAAATTTCAGTTTAAATCTTGTATGTCAAAATCTAGAAGATAGGGCCAAAGTTCATCCCATGAAAATATTTTCAGTTGCAACTGCTTTTATTATTAAAGCAGAAAAAAAAGGAAAAATACACAAACTAATCATTCAAATCAAAGAACTTTAAAAATGCAGGAAATTCTGAGAAAGAAACAAATAAATTGGGGTAAAAACAATACTACAAGCTCCTATAGAATTAAAAAATAAAACCATTAATTAGGTCTTTATAAAACAAGGCAAATAGACAAAATCTATCAAATCTATCCCTCCCAAAAATATTCAAATAAACATTAGACAAAAGTAATTCTAGATTCAGAAGTTTAAAGTATAAAAGAATACATGTGCTAATTTTACTGTATTAAATTTGAAAATCTCAATACAAGACAATAGCATGGTGGTTACCAGTATGTTGATTCTTCTAATCCAGGGGTGCGCAACCCCAGGCACGTGTGCCAAACATGGCACGCCAGTAACTTTTGCTGGCACGCAAAACCCTCTCTTATAATCTTCCATTTACAATTTTTTTCTTAATATCGACTTTTTTATTTTTCAGATAAATTCAGTGTAGGTGCATCTTAGATAAATAAATAACCTTACATAACAAGTTATCTTAAAGACCACAGACATGGATTGACGAGAGAGGGGAAGAGCAATTTCTATGCCTCTGCCTTAACTCTCCCTGCCTTTCTAGATCCGACCAGTGTTTTGGTTTCATCCACATACGCTTGTGAATCTTTGTTCTCAGTGATGAATTTTGTTAAGTCTCGTAATAGTAGCCTGACGGATGAAAGTAGTAGCTCGTGCATATCTCTGAAGGTCACGAAATATAAACCTGATGTAAAATCTCTGTCATCAGTGATGCAGCAGCAAAAGTCCCACTGATAATATCAAACGGAGTCATAAAGTTTTCTGTTGGACTATCAGTGTATATGTATACATTAAAAAATAAATGTATTTTTCATCATCATATACTGTGTTTTTGTTGCTCGAATGAATTTTATTATTTCTTCAAGGTTCTTCACATACGTACACCTTAAGAGATATCAAGTAGGTGTAACATGTTCTCAAAAAATTGGGGTTGGCACGCAGAAGAATTTTGAGTCAGAGATTTTGCTGGTTTTGGCACGCACTCACAAAAAGGTTGCCCACCCCTGTTCTAATAAATGAACATGGAATATCTTTCTATTTCATTGTGTCTTTTTCAATCTCTTTTAATATTGCTTAGTAGTTTTCAATATACTATAGGTCCTTCACATTTTTTTGTTAATTTTATTCCTGGGCATTTTATTCTTTTTGTTGCAATTGCAAAAGGAATTGTTGTTTTCATTTCTTTTCTGAAATTTCATTGTTAGTATATAGGAATGCAGCAGAAATAAAACCACATGTATATGGGCAAATAATTTTTGACAAAGAAGCCATTACAAAAATGTGAAGATCTTGATAAGGAAAAAAAACCCAAGAGGTTTGAATAGGGAATTCCTACAGAATACTAATAAATGGCCAATAAACATAAAAAGATGTTTAGTTTATTGGTGCAAATTGTTATAAAGGAGAAAAGAAAGCCTCGTTAATAAATGGTACTGGAAAAATGGGAAAGCCACATGCAAAAGAATGAATATAGACTACAGTTTGTCCCCATGTACAAAAATTAATTCAAAATTCATAAAAGACCTACATATAAGATCTGAAACAATAAATTACATAGAAGAAAACACAGGTACTAAACTTATGGACCTTGGTCTTAGAGGAGATTTTTTGAATTTGACCCCAAATGCAAGGGAAGTAAAGGCAAAAATAAATGAATGGGACTGTATCAAACTATTTCAAAACATTTATTTGCAAAGATATATGCACCTCATTGAAGCATTATTCATGGTGGCCAAGACATGGAAACAACCGGGTGTCCTTCAATAGATGATTGGATAAAGATATGGTGCATGTATACAATGGAATACTACTCAGCCGTAAGATGAAATACTGCCATTTTCAAAAACATGGATGGACCTTGAGAATATTATGCTAAGTGAAATAAATCAGTCAGAAAAAGCTAAGAGGCATATGATTTTATGCATATGTGGAATATAAAACTCACACAGACAATAGTATGGTGGTTACCAGAGGGAAGGGGGTGGGGGAGTAGTGGGAAGGAAGCCAAATATGTGGTGGTGAAGATTATCTTACTTTGGGTGGTGGGCACACAATGCAATACATAGATCATGTATCACAGAAATGTACACTTGAAACCTGTATGATCTTATTAACCAATGTAACCCCAATAAATTTAATTAAAATAATAAATATAAAAGCAATAGGTTAAAAAAGATGATGGGAAAACAGATCACAGTCACAATAACAACAAAATGTATAACCACGTAGGCATAAACTAAACAAGGATACTATTGGGACAAGTAAATTCCATTTGGAGAAAATTAGATTCCTATAACTTGTTTTTGTTTTTTGAAGATCTAATTGGCTTTATTAGCAATCATGAATCAGGCAGCATCCCATGTAGCAAGTAGAAGGGCACTCCCTAGATTCTTATAACTTTAAAAATAAACATAAAGAGGAAAACCAAAAAAGCAAGAGTAAGAAATATAGGTGCATTTGTTATAATATTGGTCTGTGAGAGTTCTTTCTAAACTTTAACATCAAAGGCAGCAACTATGAAGAAAAAGACAGATTTGAGTACACAAAAACTTATAAGTATTATACTGCAAAACACATCATATATAAAGATTTAAAAAATGTCAAACTAGGGAAAGTAGCAGTATATAACAATTAAGATACTTAACATATAAGTTCTTAGGAAAGCCATTACAAAACTGTAAAGATCTTGATAAGGAAAAAAAACAACCCAAAGAGGCTTGAATAGGGAATTCACTAAAGAATAGCTGATAAACATAAAAAGATATTTAGCTCATTTGTAATCAAAGAAATGTAAAATAAAACAACGCACCGTTTTATTGCCACGCTCATTAGCGAAAATGAAAAAGAATAATATCCAGTGTTGCAGAAAGCATGAGGAAATTGATACAACTTTTCTGAAGAAAAATTTTGGAAATTGTAACAAAAGTGTCAACAAGATGCATAATTTTTGTATATCAAAATGAAATTGGTACTTTTCTGACTGGAAATTATAACAAAAGTATCAACAAAACGCATAATTTTTGTATATCAAAATTCCAGTTCTAGATTATCCTAAGAAAATACAAGGAGGCACAAAATTTAGCTATTAAAAAGAATAAAGATGTAGCTACAAGGCTATTCATCTCTGTAACACTTATAATAGGGAGAAATCAGAAAACTAAATATTTAAAAAAGACCAGATAAGTAAATAATAGAATATATTATGCAGTATATGCCACCATTAAAATGACATGACCATGAAAGGAAGACCTTGTATATAGTGATGTACAGGTGACAATCACAATTTTTGTTTAAAAAGAATAAATGCATATGTTTTATATATTTATGTAAGTATATGTAAATATATGCATTTTCTCTGTAGAAAAAAAATCTAAAAGAACAAAATGTTAATTTTACCTCTGGATAATGGCATTATATGGGAGTATTAGTTATTTATTGCTGCATAACAAATTATGCCAAAATTTAGTGGTTTAAACAAAAACATTCATTATCTCAGTTTCTGTGGGCAAGGAATCTGGGACCCAGCTCAGCTGGGTAGTTCTGCCTCAGGGTTTCTCATGAGGTTTAGAATGGATGCTGGCCGAGGCTATAGTCATCTAAGACCTGACTAGGGCTGAAGGATCTACTTCCAAGAAGGTTCACTCAATAAAGCTGTTGTCAGGATTCAATTCCTTGCTTTGTGGGCCTCTTCACAAGAGGGTATGTGTCATGACATGGTAGCTGGCTGGATGCATCCCCAGAGCCAAAAGTGATTAAGAGAGAACAAGACTAAAGAGACAATGTCTCTTATGGCCTACTGCAGAAATCATACTCTGTTATTCATGCTACATTCTAGTCATTAGAAACAAGTTATTAAGTCTAGTCCACACTAAAGGAGGGAGGTAAGATTCATGTCTTGAAGGGAAGGGTATCAAACAATGTGTGGACATAGTTTTAAATCCCACAATAGGTGACCTGTGGCATACTCAGAAAAAGACACATAATTTATTTTCTAAGTGGAAGTTAATTTCACAAACACAAATACACAACACAAAAAGACAATTTAAAAAACAAATATTCTCATTAAGCACGATGTGCCTGCCAAAAAAAAAGGTAACACAATCCTTGAGTTGGAATAATGGCACCCAGAACAAGTTCTATGATATTGTAGACCATTTAGGTTATATCCAGAATATCCTGTTCAGCTCTGAGTACCACTCTTAGTAAATTCTCGGTGGAAAACTAACAAACTAGCTCATCACCTAGACAAAGTTACTTCAGAATGAGGAATAGTCTGGAAGAAAATGGTGTTTGGCTTGAAAGAGACAAGAATTGAAGGGGAGAAAGAGCAGGCAAATCATTGCCTTCAACTATATGAAGGGTTGCCACGTAGAAAAGTTAAAAGGACTTAAGAGGCAGAACTTGAACCAATGACTCAGAGTCACAGGTATGCAAAGTGGTTCATATAAGAACTTTCTAACAGTTGTTAAAAACCAGAATGAGCCACTCAGTGGATGTTCCCATTGGCTGCAGGGGTCTGTGGCAACTGAGCATGGTGCTGCCACGCCCTCGCTACCTCTAAGGTTCGTGTCCAAACGTCTATTTCCTTACTCACACTGAGTGAGGTGTGAAACCAACGTTACAGCTTTTCCGAAAGCAGTAGACCTAATACAAAGGCCTAAGCCACGAGGCATCAATGAAATGTACAGTGCTTGGCCTAACATAATGGAGCGCCTGGTACACAGTATGTGATTTATACATGTTAGTTATATCTGCATTCATTCAAAATGTGACAAGGTGCTCTCTAAGGTCCTTTCCAATTCTTAAGACTTCATAATTAAGTTAAAATCACTACAATTAACTATTAATCCTGATGGTCAGCTTCAGTAATATATTTAAGGGTAGGAATGACAAAATTAATCTTCAAAGCCAGAACAGCTGGACATGCTTTGGGAACCCACACAGAACAGAAGCAGTCACTTATGCAGACATGTAAAAACCACAAAAATCAAAGCTTAACATATTCAAACAAGTCATATCCTCTCTGGTATACATGGTCTGCTTTCTGGAAGGAAGATGTTTTAAATAGGAGACTCAAACTGGGCTACTTCACCTACACAGAGCAAATTAGATTATTACGATTAGTTACTCACCCATGCCTGCCACCTATGCACAACTGAAAACTTACTTTTTGCGGGCCAGCTGCCTGGACATTCTGCCATGATGCTACAGGTTCTGTAGCTACGTGCCACTCTGGGTACCTTTTCGTGAGTAACTTCACAAAGCTGGACTTTCCCACAGCTGCAATGCAAACAGCATGTATTGGGACACTTCCCAAACCAGGGCTGAAGGAAAAGGCGGCTATTAAATTCTGCCCAATTTAAGGGAACAATTGCCAGTTTTTCTAATTTCAAAATTCAACAGCAGCCTTACCACTGTCAGACTGACAATGGGCCAAGGCCACCCTAACCACAGTCACCACAATGTTTTGTTTTTGTTAATCCCCACCTGAGCATATTTTTCCATTGATTTTTTGGGAGAGTGGAAGAGAGAGGGAAAAACAGAGAGAAACACATCAGTTGGTTACCTCCTGCACGGGCCCTAGGCCCAGGCCAGGGAGGAGCCTGCAACCAAGGTATGTGGTACGTGCCCTTGACCGGAATCAAACCTGGGAACCTTTGGTCCATAGGCCAAGGCTCTATCCACTGAGCCAAACCGGCTAGGGCCAGAGTCACCATAATGAATGCAGGCAACAGGGAGGAAAAATACCCCTAACATTTGATTTGAAGTTTTACTGTCCCAACCTCCCAGAAACAAAGAGTATTTAATAAGAGTTAAAAATGTAATAGACTGCCCTGACTGGTTTGGCTCAGTGGATAGAGCGTCAGCCTGTGGACCGAAGGGTCCCAGGTTCGATTCCAGTCAGGGGCATGTACCTTGGTTGTAGGCACATCCCCAGTGGGAGGTGTGCAGGAGGCAGCTGATCGATGTTTCTCTCTCATCGATGTTTCTAACTCTCTATCCCTCTCCCTTCCTCTCTGTGAAAAATCAATAAAATATATTTTTTAAAAAAATGTAATAGACTGTCAAAAGCTGATGAAATCAGCTGTTGTAAAGCTTCAATCACAGTCCTATTTATTCTGTGAAAGTGTAAAAATTGCAAGTTTTCCAGAATAATTTATGGCCCTTATTCATTCAACAAATGTGACGAATGCTCAGGACTGTCTGACACTGGGGTATAATGATAAACACAGGATGGACTTTGCCCTCACAGAGCTTGTATGGAGATAGATACTAAACAAACACTCAAGGAACTAATAACGAAGTGTGTTAAGTGCTAGATAAGAAAAATGCAGGAGGCGCTAATATAGCTCAGGAGGTCAGGGAAGGCTCTGAAAGCACCTGAGGTAAAACCTGAAAGACAAGGAGTTAGCCAGAACAAGGGTAGGGGACCGGTAACCTAAGCAGAGAGAGCAGCATGGGAAAAGAGAAAGAACTGGGCGTACAGCAAGACAGAAGAGAAGTCTATGTGTGACCTTGAAGAAGCCAGAGCAGCTAGAGTGGGACGAAGTGAGGGAGAAGTGTGACTCAAGATATGTGTGTGGCCGAAACCGGTTTGGCTCAGTGGATAGAGCGTCGGCCTGTGGACTGAAAGGTCCCAGGTTCGATTCCGGTCAAGGGCATGTACCTGGGTTGCGGGCATATCCCCAGTGGGAGGTGTGCAGGAGGCAGCTGATCGATGTTTCTCTCTCATCGATGTTTCTAACTTTCTATCTCTCTCTCTTCCTCTCTGTAAAAAATCAATAAAATATATTTAAAAAAAAAAAAAGATATGTGTGTGGAGAGGCGAAAGGCAGGCTGGGGCGAGGTCATGTAGGGCCTGGGGCCATCGTAAGAAATTTGAATCTATTCTAAAGACAATGGGAAGTCAATGATGATGGGTTTTAAGCAGGGAAATGTCAAATTTCCAACTAATTTTTAAAAGATCCCTCTGCCAGCTGTGTAAGAATGGACTGATATGAAAGTAGGCAGACCAGTTAGAAGGCAACAGTAGCTGGAACCAAGGTGCTTTGAGAAATACTTCGGAGGTTAAATCAACATTCAAATCTTTTCCCATTCACACCGAGGTCTGGCCTGCACCTTCCTGAGCTCCAGACTTCACTGTCTAAGAGCCCTCCAGACATCTTTATTGGATGGCCCACAAACACCTCACAGTCAACATATTACCTAAATGACCTCATCATCTTCACCACCAAACTGACTTCTTTCCTATTCCACACCTCAAGTATGGCAGCACCATCCACTCACTGCAAGAACTTCCTCCTCTGCCCAACCTCAAGGGGCCACCTTTTAATTTCCCCCGTCTGTCCTTTTTTCTCTATTCCCATCTCCTGCTCAAGACCAGGCTCTCAGCCGAAACCGGTTTGGCTCAGTGGATAGAGCGTCGGCCTGCGGACTGAAGGGTCCCGGGTTCGATTCCGGTCAAGGGCATGTACCTGGGTTGCGGGCACTTCCCCAGTGGGGATGTGCAGGAGGCAGCTGATCGATGTTTCTCTGATCGATGTTTCTCTCATCGATGTTTCTAACTTTCTATCTCTCTCCCTTCCTCTCTGTAAAAAATCAATAAAATATATTTAAAAAAAAAAAAAAAAAAAAAGACCAGGCTCTCAACATTTCTTGCCTCTCTAACTCTGGCCTTGCCCTCTTCAGTCCATCATTTATACCGGAGCCACAGTGAACACAAATAACATTGCTTTAAACTCTCTGACAGCTCCATAGTGCCTTCATGACAAAACCCAACCCACAGCATGGCCTGGGAGACACATCATGAAATAGCCCCTGCAGACACCTCTCTGGCTTCAGCTTCCCGTTAGCCATCCTGAGCTCCCTCTGGACCAAACTCCTTACAACTCCTATCGTGCCATGTTCTCTGCAGATGTGACCATACATATGCTTCCCCATTTCCTGGTACACTTCCTCCCCTCAGCTGCCTAACTCCAACTCAATCTGCAAGAATCTGCTTAGATTTAACTCCTGTGTGAAGCCTTTCTGGCCCTGACACCCCTAAACTGAATTAGCTAATCCTCCTTTGTGCTTGCCCTGGCATGCTGGGTAAGACTCCATTACTGACATTGTAATTGCATTTCTCCAGGTAGAAGATGGGGCTCCTCCAGGGCAGGAACCAAAGCCTAACCTAATGAGCTGATTGAATGAATAAAACACTTTAAACATTATTAATTTTAGCTCCCTCTAAAACCCACATTTGTTAAAAATAAAAAAACCTTAAGAGTGCTTTTGGAACTTAATCTCCTCTACTGAAGTTGGTCTTTCTCAAGTGACTTCTACCCTTAGGAAAAATCCAAATGGAACCCAGAGAAAAGAGGAAGATGCCCTTCCAGCCAATTTTATCAGCCACTCACGGCTACTGACAGGAGCAAAGAGCTGTCTCAGCAGGAGCCCACACATCCAATGTGACATTTATTACACCCCACTCCACTCCTCTCTGAACACACAGGGCAGGAACAAACACTATGAATCTATGCATTTTGTACAGTCATGCTCCTCTCTCAGCCCCGTCACCACTTTTGCACATTTACTCAGCCTCTGCTCTTCCCACACATCAGTGAATAACCTGTCTAAATCCTCTCCCTCACCAAGTCTAAGGTCCCACCTCTTCCATAAGCTCAGGACTTCTCTAACTCACACCAAATTCCTACCACACTGGGGCAGTTGAGTCAAACAAGAAATACATAGACTCCGAAACTACATACTAAACTACTAAACACAACTTTCTGTGCTTGCCATGGAGCACCTAAGAGTGGCAGGAATTACAAATTGGTTGAGTTTAATATTATCAGATACTTGCCTGCCCCGAGTAGCCCCTATTTTAAAATATCTGGCAAAGATGATCAACATTTAGATTGCAAGTTGTTGATTAAATCTGAAACATGGTCTCTGCTATTCAGCTGAAAAGCTATTTTAATTAATATGACAGATGAAAGTACGTGTTAGCTGGGTGACACTGAGTGATTGTTAGAATTACTTAAATTTTTTTAAAGTTAAAAACAATTACGTAAGAAACTGCTGCATATGGAAAGAAAGAGCCCTATGGGTCAGGGAGTGCCAACTTTACCTCCCAGATCAGACACTATTAGTTCATTTAAAAGCAGTCAGACACAAAGAAAATAAATAAATAAATAAATAAATAAAAGCAGTCAGGACTCTCAGAAACCGACTCATGCCGTTTAAACACACAAAACCCGGAATGCCAACAAATTAGATGTAATGGGAAATACACAGTTCCAATTACTGGAACAATCACACCAGGGCAACGCCTCCACCCTGCGCTCTACTCTCCACTCCAAAGCTTCTGGAAAGCCCATCTAGTAATCAGAAGCTGGTTTCAGCAAAGAAAGACAGGTCCTAAGAGTTGTGCCATCTATGTTGCTGTAGGGCTTGGAGAACCTGGGTCATTTACCACAGGGCATTAGTCCTTAACCTGCATTATAACAGAACTCGTTGTGCTAGGCACCACCCATCGATATGGAAAAATTAATTTAAAAAAATAATTAAAGGTTATATGTTTATATTAAAACCAGACACAGCATAATTATTTTTAGTGCTGTGATACCTGACACTAATAGTTTCTTCTTCCTGCTTGGGTTTTGATTTTTTTTTTAAGACAAATGTTTTAAAGTGTTCCCAGGGGCTTCCCAGTGGTACTGGCTGGCTCTCCACGGCTACACTGCCCTGCTCCTAGTGACCAGAACACTTGTGTCTACGGAAAGCCACTCTTCTTCATGCAGCACTGGACAAACTGACAAATTCCTTTCTTTCTTTGGTCTCTATGCAGAGCATCAGCCTCTTATGATATCATTATCATAATTTAGTTATATCTCAGCTTAACTGTTACCATTCAAAATATTTTAATATGAAATTTGGGAGGTATCAGATCTCAGTATCAAACCTTTCCTGAGGGCCTTGGATATCCTTGTACTTTATTATATGTGCCATGACTTGAAAAGGGGTGGGAGCTATTTTCTTAGCGTATATTACTTCAACATGTTGATTTTTATTGGCACCAGGATTGTCATTTCACAAGCTGGACCAGGGTTCTATTGTTAATGTTCATCTTATTCCTAAGTCATGGTTATTTTCCTCCCACAAATTTTTCTATAAACTACATTGCCTTCTATAACTACATTATGCTAAAATCTAGTAGTAAGATAGTATCTGATGTAATGCCCGAAATAATGTATTTGTTTAAATTTCATACAGTTGTATTTCATGGGAGACTCTTA